TCTCTCTGTCTGTCTCTCTGTCTCTGCCTCTGTCTCTGTCTCTCTGTCTCTTTCTCTCTGTCTGTCTCTCTGTCTCTGTCTCTCTCTTTCTATTACAGGGCCACTCTATGTAGTTTAGGCTGGCTTTGAACTAGAGATCCTTCTCTCAGTCTCATCTTTATTTATAAAAGACATTTGCTCTGGGTGTGAAATTCTTAGTAGTTATATTTTCTTCTGGTAATAACTGCCAGTAGCTCTGTCATTCTTTAATATCTATGAAAATCGTACTCTGTACTAAGATTTTAGGTGATATATTTTTATTATTGTGCTTCTAAGAGAGAATCAGAAATAGATACACACATTTTTATCCATCCATAGTTTTGGCATATATCTCTTCCTTGTTGCCAATCCTGAAGAGACTTTCTTAGTCTGGATTTTCATCATTTTTCTATTTTATTTTAAAAGATATAAAATAAATTTGTGTATTAAAGAATCATATTACTAACTGTTTTTTCTGTTCTTTATATAGATCCATTGGAATTAGAATTCTAAAATTTTACTTTTGGAATTTTCCACAATGTTTGTATTGTATTTTCATTTAGATAAGTAATTATCAGGAGGGCATTCAAAGTATGGTTTTTCTTTCTCAGAAAACAGTGCTACCATCATTCTCAATAATTTTCTCATTCTATTTATATTACTATTGGAGAATCATCTGCCAAAATGTTGTGTGTTCCACTATTTAGATATTATTGTGTTTTTTTTTTTTTTTTTTTTTTTTTTTTTTGCGGAACCAGGGATTGAACTCAGGCCCTCATGCTTGCCAGGGAAGCACTTATTCCACTGAGCCATCACCCCAGCCTAGATATTATTGTGGCAGTTGATCTTATATTAAAGATATAAGAAACAATTTCTTAAATTTCTTAAATTTAAGAAACAATTCTTAAATTTAAGAAACAATTTCTATCGTTTTCACTCTCATTTAAATATTTCATTATAAGTATAGTTCTTTATACAAGGCAATGTTCTTTCACTACTTTCTGTTTTCACCTATCTTATTAGTACTACAGAGGGAAATTTTTCTTATAAAAGATAGAAATTTTGTAATATTCAACCCACTTTGTGTTGTGCATTTTGTTAGTTGAAGCCACAAAAGAACACTTCTTAGTAGAAACGAGATTAGCTCATTAAAGAAGTAATATATGGCAATTGGATATGCTTTTTGTTTTGGGGAGAGTAAAGCAATACAATCATAAAGTGCTGCAGAGGTGGTGGAGTGTGTGTATAATCCTGGCACTTGAGAGACCGAGGCACGAGGATTATAAACTGTAGGCCAGACTGGAATACACAGTGAGACTGCCTCAGAAAGCCTAAGTAAATAAAATACTAAAGAAATAAAATACCAATATTTATTTCTAGTATATGACCTTCTTTTTGTAAATACTTAACATTTAATATCCAACATAAAATACTTCCAGTAGCAAAATAACTTACGCAGGTCCATAGTTACATACAAACAAGGCATATGTGGGTCCACCTAAGTTAGGGCACGTTGCAACTGCACAACCGACTTTATGTGTATTGGCCCAAACTACCTACAAGAAAAGAAACCATAAGCCAACATATTCAAGACAATTCTATGTAAACAATGCAACATGAAAACAGATACAATCTCTGCTATGCTATTAAAAAGAGTGTGTAAATATTTGCTCACTATATATATTTTTCTATAACCTATTAGTTTAAGTGACTTTCTTTGGGTAGCCTTCACAGGGGCTATCAAGCTAGTTTTTCTTTACAGATAATTCTCCTAAATCATAATAAATAGGTTAAATTATAATTTCTTGTATAAGTTTTTGGGAATTTTAATTCTACCTATAGACATCATATAATCAATGTTAAAATCAGACTATAAATGAATGAAATAAATTTTTCTCCCAAAAAATCTACTTAATTTACTATTACATTTCTAAGTTTTTAGTTTTATGTACATTCTTACCAATGTCAAGTCATAAGAGTTAGGTAAAGATGGATTAAGAACATTTTGAGTTTATGAAAAAACAACTATAAGAATGGCATTATTTTTACCTAGTGTAGGGAACGCCTGAGCTGGAAATAAAACTGTCTTGAGAAAAACATCTTACCTGAGACAATTCCAGTCATTAGTCCCTAGGCAACCCTGTGTCTTATGATTCTAACTTTGTCAAAAATGTAAATAAATGTCGCTTTGGTGGAAGTTCATTCAGCTCTTCTCTGATCAAGAGAGACAGGGCTCTACCTGACCTCAGCTTACATCTCTTGACTGTACGGTCCTCATCCCACTGCCATTTTCCTCTGGAATAATCAAGAGCCGTGTAGGTTGTGACAAATTGGTCCTGGGCAGGGACACTGGTGAGAAGAAATAAGTGCGCAGGGGAAAGCTTCTCAACTGAGCGTGACTCAGGAGAGCAGTGGGTGGAGGGGAGGCCAGTGTTCAGCACAGGCGTGCAGCAGTATTGGCCTCATCGGGTGCAAAACCTCGGGGATGGAGGTTCATAGGGCCAGGAGTGGGCTCACTAGGGGCAAACAGTCTCAGTAAACACAGGTGCATATGTTATAGGGTGCTTTTTACTTTAAAATCAAGTCCCAGACATGTAAAGGAGAGTGGAACAAAGGCACCACCAATAGAGCTTAAACCCTCTAGCACTGCTCAATAAGATAAAAAAGAAGATTCTTTTAAGTTGTGTGCAGCTGGCTTGGAGCGACAAGGCGTCGCTGTGGCAAGGGGCGCAGGCTGAGTGTAGGCAGGGCCCCAAGCTTGGGGCCTAGGCAGGCTTAGCTGGGCTTTCCTGGCCACCTGAGTGTCTGCACACTTTGTCGAGCTGCCAACTACAGACCCCGTTCGTCATCTGGGGCTGCTGGGACATGGCGGCACCAACAGTGCTCAGAATCTTGGCAGAAAGAGGACATCCAGAAGCCAAAGTGGGAATGACAGCCAGTGCACCCAGTGACGCGGGTAAGTGACAACAACAGAGTCTACACGCATGGCTGGTCCCCTCTGGTGAGCTGGATTCCAGGAAAACTTGGGCGCCTCCACCCCTTGCCCCTGGAGGGCCGCACCCATTACACAAACAACGTGCAGTTTATGTGGGAAAAATGACAGTAGCCTGGACAGGAAAGGGAAAAAGGCAACTGTTGGCCATGACTGTGAAGACAGTGACCACCACGTACCCTGGGGAGGCGGAGGCACGAGGAGGCGCTTACTCCGGGTACTAAGGCAGGACATCTCAGCCACTGCCTGCCGCTCTCTCAGCCCCAGGCAAAGGAGTGGAAGCTGCAGTCAGAGGTAGGAGCGCAAGTACAAAAAGGTCTCCAGGTTTTGCCTAGTGTCACTGGTTCCAGACTGTGGGACCATCCAGTTGTTGAACAAAAGAAAGTAAACAGAAGCGGACCATGGAAACAACTGCTTTTCTTTCTTTCTTTTTTTTTTTTTT